GACACTGTCTGGCAGCAGGCAGAACTCTGAACTTGAGGTCGGCTTTCCCTCAGAGGTGCTTGCAGCAATTAAATTACCGGACACAGACATGTAGATATGCACTTTACTTCCGCACCTCCTCTGGCTCTCAGTGTGCTTTTCTTTCCTTCTAGTTGTAGAATTTCCACTCAGCCAGCCTTCCTGTAGTTCTGGGTGATGTCCGTTTTGTCTTTTCATTGTATTTTGAAGTTGTTGTGGGAGGCAGGAATTTCCCGGTAATTACCAATGCCGCCATCTTAGTTTCTCCCCAAAGGAGTTCTTATGTGGTGATGAAATATTTTTGTATTTTGATTGTAGGGGTGATTACAAATCCTGACATGAGAAAAAATTGCTAGAGCAATACATATGCACACACACAAATTAATGCAGGCTAGAAAAAATGGTGAATGCTGAATTAAGCTGTGGTCTAGTTAACAGTAATGTACCAAAGTCAATTTCCAAGTTTTGATACTATACTGCATATATGAAAAATGTTACCATTGGGTAAGCTAGGTGAAAAGCACAAGGTCTTTTTTGTATTATTTTTGCGATGTCCCGTTCCTAATTGTTTCAAAATCAAATGTTAAAAATAAATGAGATGAGAGATTGCAAGGAGAGATTGTAAAAATGTTTGGAGAAAACAGGCACTGCAAATGAATTAAGCTGGATCCAGTATAGAACAAAGGGTTCCTATATGGCTCAAGTCTATATTTCTGTGGCCCCTTTTTCAAATAATTAATATTTTCATTGAATTACACAAGTAATACTTATATACATGTAGATATGCATAGATATACACAGTAAAAAGTGTTATGTTATCCTTCCTACTGTCTTAACCAGAGTTAAACAATGTTGACTAATTTGATATATCTGCCCTGGTATTTTTTATGCACTCATACCCATGCATAGTTATGTTATTGATAAAATCATGATAACATGATGACACACAATAATCTAGTGTCTCTGAAACTTGTTGTTTTTCCTTGACCATGTAGGTATGACAATTGCTTAATCAGTGTACATGAATCTGCTGAGTTCTGTAAACAGTTATACAGATGCCATAGGGATGTTCACTTGCAACAGTGAACAGACATTTTGAGAGGGCCTTAATACTCAGGCCAGCCCTCCTCTTGAAAACTTGGATGAGTTCTTCCTAAATCCACTTCCTGCAGATAAATTTTTAAAAGTCATAACTATAATGAAGCGCGATCATTTCAATAGTCGTGAAAACATGGTCGAGTTTGGGTTGGATTTGGTTTAGAATAAAGATGAGATGAAACTATGAAAGGGCTTTTAAGCCCACTAGCAAGAAAAAGTCATGAAAAGGGCAAATGAAAATCTGAGAAGACCTGCAATATCCAGGGCAAAAACAGACTAACAGGAATCCTTAGAAATCACTATGGAGTGAAAGGTAAGAGCAACGGGGCAATTCATGAATAAAGAAAAACGCACATGACCAGCAAATGTACCAGAAAGGATATTTTCTGGGTTTGTTGGAACGCCAAAGTGCATTGGTACTAGAGAAATATTAATTATACAAAGGAATGATGGGTTGGGTGGCCAGATTTTCTGTGGAGACAGTGAATGGTGGGCCTTCAGTAAGGACTCAATATACCAGTCCAGAAATTCTGCCCTCCACTCTACTCTAGGGCTTTCCACAAAAGTAATCCCTGGGGAGCACCGCTTTCTAATTAGCTCAAGCCCTCGGGCTCTGCTCTGAAAAGCCTGGGCTTGCCAACTGGGCCATGTCCTGGGGAGGCCTTGCCAACAGGGCCAGTGCCATTGGTCCGGGCTATATTCCCTGCAGAGGCTCTGTCTGAGGCTGCAGGCTCCAAAGGCAGTTAAAAATGGGGGCGAGGCTAAGCTGGTGGCCACACCTCAGGGAGCCGGCGAAGAGGCGGGGCTACCTGTGGGCCTCAGAGGAGGGACAGGAGCTGCTGCAGCTTTCTCTGGAAAGGAGCTAGGGAGGAGACCAAGTGCGGAGCCGGGCAGGAGGGCTTCCAGGGCTGGCGGGTCGCTCCAGACCTCCTGAACAACTGCCCTTGGCTCCTGCTTCTGCTGGTCAGCGAGGCCTGAGCCTGCCCGGCCCATGGCGGTGTCAGCGGCTCTGTCGGTGGCGGCGGCGGCAGCGGCCCTATCTGGTCTGGCGGTGCGACTGTCGCGCTTGGCCATAGCCCCCGGCTCCTATGGCGCCTTCTGCAAGGGGCTCACGCGCACGCTGCTCACCTTCTTTGACCTGGCCTGGCGGCTGCGCATGAACTTCCCCTACTTCTACATCGTGGCCTCCGTG